ATGACTGCTTTTAGTGAGGAAAAATTTTTCAGCGCCCTCAGCTCCTGCAATTTGAAAATACTACAATTGTGGCTTACTGAACGCATCAGGAGCTCAGCAACAATTCGAGCTAGCGAATACTGGCTGCAAAAAAAAACGTCCTTGCCTTTTCAGAAGGCGTAAAAAGTGCACTTTTCTAAGAATTAGTCTGAGATTTTTACAATATTCTGGCAATCATTATTAAGTCTAATCAAAAAATAGGAGTATCTTAAGGAAAAAACTTGAAAAAGTGCAGAAAACCTGTTTTGACGGAAATTTCAAAAAACCTTCTTCCCCAAGAACTGCATAAACAGCAGCTATATGCTGGAAGCGGCTTCGACTTTAAAAATACTAAAAAGTCAACGGATTTCTCGGTAACATACCCAGCACGGGGAAAGAATGAGGAAGAGGAGGCGGGAAGGAGAGGGAAGCGAAATAAGGGAAGAGTGAGAAGCAACACTACTCTCCTTCGCTTCAATGAGAATCATAAAAACAAGACTTCAAGAAAAACAAATGTGAAAAACCAAAAAATGGCAAATTTAGATAGGAAGAAATGACACAAAGTTCTGTGCGTGAAAGCAAACAAAGAGACATAAATTTATTTAGACAGATTTTAAATCTAGTCAAAAATGGTGTAAATTTGCTTCAAAAAAAACGATAAAGTGGGCTCAAAAATGCAAACCTCAAGAACAAAGTACTTAACGGGGTTCAGAAACACTTTCATCGTGGCGGTAAAACAACAAAAAAAGCCATGTTAAGGAGTGGGGGAGGAAAAATTTTTAAAAAAAATGCTTTTGGAAAGGAACTGTCAAAAACGAGATACGTCCCAGCTTCCCGAAGCTGAAAAATTCCACGAATCGATTTGGTAAGAAATAGCAAGCGGTAAAACGACTGGCTTCCCCAGCAATCAGATTTTAACTCCTTCCTCATCGTCAACTCTCGGGTCCCTTCTCACAGTCCTCCATCACTTCAAATTTTTGAGTTGAAAAGGTCAAAGCGAAAATTTAAGCATTAGGGTGAATAAACTAACTCTAGCAACATCGATCCATTTTGCGATTATTTTTGCACGGAAATCCGCGCGACAATCCGGCAGAACAATGCTCGTCATCACTTTTTGAACAATCGCATTGAACTAGAAAGGAACACACGAAAATTAAGTATTATAACTTTTTTTAGCAGTGACATATATCACTACCGAAAGCAAAATACAAATCTTAAATATTCATCGATCAGACCAAGTATTCAATTTCGTATTCACGTCTTCAAGCACAGTTCTCATTTTTTAAATTATGCAGCCCACCATTTTTTTCCTCACCTAATTGAGCTGGATCTCCACAAAATCCTGCACTTTTCTGATGAAACTTCTACGCCCCTTCTCTGATGAAATTTCTTAGAGATAACAGAGATATTAGTCACGACATACATGATTGGCCAACGCACGGGCTGCCCTTGCGAAGATGCGTTTTTTGCAGAGTTCCTCGCAGTTTCTGTCGCTACCGGCATCGGTTTTTTCGGCAGATGCTTCTAGTAGAAAGAATTTCAGCCTGGCCGCGCCAGAACTGTCAGGAAACATCCCCTCAAAATTCCAGTCTTCTAGCTTCTCACGCTCTCGAGTAAGTAACTTACCAGGAAGGAACTATTCACGGGCCTGTACGCGGGTACCACGCTCACCCGGGGGCTGGATTTGAGCTCATTAGCACCTGCTTGA